ACTGAAAGCATCTACATCCAGAATTGATGGGAGTGGTACGGGAAACCAAAAGGATGGAAGTTTGGTGTCCTAGTGTATGGTAAAGGCATCGATAAGCAGCGTCCCCAGTTGAGAAAACATCCATTGAAAAACATGTGGATGAAGGGACCACTCCATGGGGCAAACCTGGTTGGGAAGACATAAATGATCAGCAAATAGATTCGTGGCTTCAGGAACATGGCAAGCTAACACCACCATGTTGTGACCGTGGCACAGAAAAAAAGATCCAAAGTCCAAAAACACAAAGACTTGGATATGGTTCCACCTTGCTTGGTAATACAATTGATGGCAGTGGAATTTTTGGAGTGGACCATAACCACCCTCCCCCACAGGAGTGGAAGGAAATGGGAAAGCCCCCAACCCACCAAAGATGCAACCGTGAACAAGTGTAACTCTAGACGAAATGGAGGAATGGGAACCCCCACTTTGGTCTGATCCCTGTTGAGCCACCAAATGAGGTTCACCCTGATCACAAAAGGAAGAGTAACAAGATGGTCTTAGGGAAAGTTCCACTGACTGAGAAGTGTCCACTGAAGTGAATGCATATGAGCTCGGCCCATGGGAATGAGAGCTTTGAAGGAAGCCCACATCCCCTAAAGAGATAGAACCTCTTGAGCAGCAAGATACGGACAGGTAAGGCCCTTTGTGACTGCCTGTTCCACATCCCTGAGACCAAGAAGAGATGCCTAGGTCCAACTGAGGTGTGATTTGAAGAAAATCCCCAAATGAATCAGGTATTAAGTGGGGTAAGAATAGACTTCTCCAACTTGATCAGGAAACCCACTCGTGCTGTAGAAGTAAACGTGTGTGATTCACTGATTGCAAACAGAAAAGGCAAGCAGGAACCAGTCATCCATATAATGATGAGTGTGAAGACCCAGCAAGTGAAGGTGATGAGCAAATGAGGGAACCACATGACAAAAAACAGAGAGACCAAATGGCAGTGACCTGAACTGGAACACCTGAACCTCATGGATGAACCAGAGAAAACAACACAAATCTAAAGCAATGGGAATGTGAAGATAGGCATCTGTCATGTCGATTTTGGTCATCCAGAATCCTGAGGAAATCACTCACTGAAGTGAGAGGTAGAACTCCATGGTGAAGTGAGAGGGCTCCACAAAGGAATTCGGCCAGAATAGATCTATAATTGGTTTCCAATCACCTGTCTTTTTGGGGACAACAAAGAGATGGGAATAAAACCCAGATGAGTTGAAACCACCCACTTGAAAGTTTCTTTGTGTAAGAACTCTTGAATGGCCTCAGCAAGATGACTGAGAGAGAAAGGATCCCAAGGAATAGGAAAGGATATTGGGGAAAGGGAATGGGAGAACCAGAACCAAAGGCAGTAACTTTCCAACAAACCCGTAGAACCCAAGGATCTGTCATGAAGTGTCACCACACGGTTAAGAAGTGGAGCAATCTGACCCCCAACGAGACAGTGAACTTCTGAAGTGTCACCAATTACACTGCTGTCTGTCTGAATGGGCACCCATAAAATGGGGATAAGGATGGGAACACCTTGAGGAAGGCAAAGGATGAGGTGAGGAAGAAAGAGGGCGGGAAACCAGGATAAGCAAATCCTGGGAGGTATTGGGAGGCCAAGACAAACGTGTGGTTAGGGAGGATAAGGAGCTCCATCAATCCATGATTCTAGGGAATCTGGACAACCCCCAAAGACAGAATCATGTAGAAAAGGGGTCTGTTGGAGATCTGGTAGGGATGAAAAGGGAAGAAGAACCCCTTCCAGTAAAGCATCCCCTCCCTAAAAAGTCCCAACAGCAAAGTAGCCAGGTATTGAGGGAAAAAAGGGCGGAGAGCGATAAACGAGCCATGGTGGCCCAAAGGAGGGTCCTGAGCTATTCTGAAAAGACATTAGAGGCTTGATGAAAAGCCTCAGATATTAATTGGAGGTAGGAAAAGTGACATAAGAGTGAGGTCAGGGAGAGGCAAATCCTGGAAAATTGTGCCTGATTGAAGCAGACAGAAGCCCCACAGGGCAAGTAGAGGATCTAAATGCTGAAAACATAAAAAAGGGATCTGAGGCACGATGATAAGACAAGGCATATTGATTCAACAAATGAGGGGGAGATGGGGCATCCCTACACCCGACTGTAGTTGATCAGAAAATTTCTAAGAAAGAACATTAATGTTGGGAGAAGGAGGAAAAACATAATAATCTGAATGTAGATTTTCACCCAGTAAGGCAGAAGAGGAATCATAGGTTATAAAGGAAATACCTAAAACATGACATACTTGATTGACAAGTTGTAAGAAGAGAGTGGAAGATGACATGTCCTGAACATGTGTAGATTGTGACAGACCAAAAAAAGGAATGTGCCAGAAAAATAGAGTCCACATTTTCTGCTTCATGATGTTAGTCCTTCTCAGAAGCATGGTCAGGAGGACAAGAAGAAGAAATCACTGGCCGAACATAAGACTCTTAACTCCCTGCAAATCACGTCTTGAATTTCCTCAGCAGATAAAGTTAATCCTATGTTCTGGGAAGTCATGCCATAGGCATTGTTTTCGATGGTGGGAATATCACTGTCCACCACATTAAATTTTGAATTCATATTAAAAATGTAGAATTCAGAAACGAGAAGTTAGTTGAATGCAAATTGTAGAAACAACTGAAAACAAATGTGAAATGTAAAAAATTGTGAAATTAAACTTTGACTAAAAAAGTAACAAAGCACAATCAAAAACTGTAGTCACACTTAGAAAAATTAAACACATGTCTAAACTGTGTCATGCCAATTGAGAAATTGGGGACTAAGTGGGAATAGCAGACAGAGCAAGTTGTCCCATTATAGGTTGTGCAATACTATTGGTGGAGAGTAGTCACATGATATGTACATGTTCTGAAATGGTGCAAAACTGGTAGGGTATAAACACTGGTGCACTGATTACTAAAATTATTTTAGCAATGCTTAGAGGGAAGTCAATGATCAAGACAGCCTTTGTGTGAAAGAAGGTAAGTCCATTTTGGAAGATACTATTCATTAGTGAAAGGTCTGTAAAGATATGTTTTAAGAGCTTTAGTGTCATTAAAACAAACACATTTTTATGGTATGTCTTGGGTGTTATATCAACTAGAAAAGTATTCAAAGATACCATTCATTAATGGAAGGTCTAAAGAAAAGTTCTATGAGCTTCACTAAATATACAGTAAGCTTCAAGTCAATGCAATGTTCACTAACATAAACTGTGATGTTTCAAGATTACTTGTAGAGCCATAAAGAAAGCATAATTTACCTGTAATAAAAACAAAACAGAAAAGCTGTAAGCTCATATTATTGTAAACACATTTAGTCACACAAAAATCATCTACTATTTGTAAAGTATTTAAATAATACTATACACGTCTTAGTGAATTATTTTATTATTACTAAATAGTTACATCTTGTAGATTACCTTTTTACATTTTATTTACTGTGTATGTGTGTGAAAAAACTTAAGAGAGTTGGAGTTGCTTGTACATTGGTAAGCGTTTGTGTGTGTGTGTGTGTGTGTGTGCGCGCGCGCACGCGTAATAAGCAGGTCTCATACATCTCCAATCATTCTATTGATATTACTGGCATAAGGAAACTTAAAACATTTATTTTATTTAAGAATATTTAAAATAAGCAATATGAGCTGGTTTTAGTCATATTATAAGATGTGTATCATTACATGGCTCTGAAGAACCAAGTGAGTAGTGTTAATATGGGTTGGTTTTAGCCGTATTAGACATGTTTCACTACTTGGCTCTGAAGAACCAAGTAAGATAACAAGTGTTTACAAAAGACATTCTTATTTATGTAGCAATGAAATTTTTCACTTGGTTTGCTGACAACAAATTTTCTTCACTGGTTGCAAAAACTTTATTATTTTGACTACTCAGTTATTAAAAGAAATACATTTTATAGTGGAAGAACTTGTGCAGTGAACATACATACAAATTAGTACCTAAATTAGGTCAATGTCCCAATCTATGGGTATTTTTTAAAATTTAAACCTTAAAATTAATAAATTATGACAAAAAAAACAAAAAAGCAGAGAGAAAATTAACTGGTTATTTTCTGTATTAATACCAAATAAACTGATATAAATAACAACAAGAATCAGTTAAAATTTCATTGTTCATTGAATAATGGTAATGAACAACTAAGAAACAAAAATTATTTGTACGGATATTTTTATCATGGTGTATTTATCTACATATGACGTTGTGACTCAAATGCATTCATGAGATTATTTACTGTTTATTTCCAAGATTCAGAAAGACATTTAATGCTCTTTAATTTCACTTATAAATTGTGATTGTGGTGCTTGGCTCAACCTGTCATCTTCATAACTATCAAAAAATAAAATGTTGTTAAACTTTATGTACATTAATGAAAAAATATATTAAAAAAAAACAAAAAAAACTCAACATAAAAACTTTAAACACATTCACATTTCTCTGTTAATTGGTTCGCATAAAGGTCACAGTGTCAAATCTTGAACCTTTGAATCAATGATGCTTTATTAGGTTATACACCTAGTGACATTTTTCAAAAACCCAACCTGATGAAAGCCCTGAATTAATTTAACTAATTCAGTTGTAGTTAAATAACTAAGGCAATAAATTTAGTTCAAAATCATAAAGTTTATATTCAATTACGAAGAAATTATAATTCTTTAACCTTTTCCTAAAGTTCAGAATTTTATATGGAAGACTTCTTACACAACTTTATATCTATACTGATTCAGTAACACTTACTGAACCTAACTATGTGGACTTTTATTTTCTAAATGCTGTTCAATTATTTGCTATACAAAGAAAATCATCACCATTAGTCAGGAAAATCTTTAAACCAAAAATCACAATTTCAACAGAATTTCAATGTTCTGATAACATTATTTGTACAGTACTAATAAAGAGAAATTACTTACATCAACATAACAAAATACATGTGTATCCCTTCATTACTAACCTTGTAATTGTGCTGATAATGAATCTCGCTGCTGAACACATTTATCTTGTGACTTCTCTACAATTTTCAGCTGTGAATGAGTTCTGCTAAGAAGGTATACAGTCAAACACATGGCACATATCACAAGACCATAGAGAAAATTTCTTGCTTTAGAATTCCTCATAGTCACACCACTACTCATATCGCTTTAAAATCTGACAAAGAGAAAAAAACCCTCTCACATCTATTAAACACTTTAGATTAAATGTGAATACAGAATACATTCAAAAAGTTCACACAAAATGGTGCAGAAGAAGTTAAAAGTATATGGATGAGCTAGAACACACAACAAAATAAGTTTTTAATTTCAAAAATCAAACATTCCTGCAAACCAGTCATTAGGCTTTCATATAGAATACAACTGTATTAAAAACAACTATGATGCTGGTAACTAATCATAAACTCACAGAATTTATACAAATACTAATAAAGTACTTTGCCCACATTAACCATATAGCAAGTTTGTTTAGCACACACATATATATTTTAAAAAATGATTTTCAATAAAATCCAATTTTCAAACTATGGTAAGTGGTGCTAATGACAGTAATAAGCAAAAAGGTTAATGTAAAAATTATAAAATTCTTTAACAGGTTTTTGGTTGAAAGTTGAAGAGCAATACAAATCATTACTTAGCACTGCTTTAACATTTTTAATGCCTTCTACAACTTCTACTTGCATGAAACTGAATTATCAACTCTGATATCATTGATAAATTCAGATCATGACTGAATGTTGAACCTGACATATGCTTAACATTTGAAAATCATTTATTGGTCTAGAACATATATTATGCTAGAAAACAAACTGTTTTATGAATATGGTATCAAATTTATAGAACTTACATTATGTTTAAGTATCAGCCATATTAAGGTAATGCTCTTTACTATTATTCTTAAAATCTGTAATGCTCCCAAAACTTTAATTGGCAAAAGTACTGTATACTGCTGCTTTTTTTCTTTCCTAATTTAAGATTTATTTCCATGACTATGAATACTTTAGTAGCACATATCAATTTTCAATCAAAGCAAGACTAAAAATAAACTGAAGCATAGCTAATTGAATATAGTTTCCTTGTGTTCTTACTTATAAGCTAATATTAGCTCTGTATCAGCAAGCTGTGCACATAGAGGGAAAATAAAAATCAATCTGGCAATAAATACAGCTAATTGAGTATATTTTTCTTGCGTATAAAGATGAGAAGCCATTGTTTTATCACTTAGGTACCCATGCTATTAATATTTTCAGTCATAACTAAAAATACTTAGAAAAATTATGATACCTTCCTCGCTTAACATATTTTAATCCTGTAACATTTATTTAATTTCAGATTTTTCCTAAAATAAAATACAGGTAACAAGGAAAAACTCTTTATCCCAAAAATTGCATTGGAGATGCAGTAGCATAACTTTAGAATGCATGTTTTACCAGCAAAGTTAAGTCTCCAAGTCTAAAGAATTAAGATGGTAACGTATATAGACTAAAACTTTCATATATTGTCCTTTATATATTAAAAAAACAACATAAAGTACTGCTAACTCCAAATATTAAGTAAGATGCTTACAAGATAAGCCAGCCCACTAGAGACTAGCAAACATATTTTATAGGATAGGTTTACTTTCACAAACGATACTCCCTCTAGAAAAAAAAAAAAAAGATAAATTTACAAAATCTACCAGATTTTGAAAGGAGTGTTTAGGACCTTTCCAGTATATTATTAAAACCAAAGCTTTTATTTTAATGAAGTAATTTCTATTAAATACTCAAGTATCCAGTTCTTGGCAATTAAAAATATTCAATACTCTATTTAAATTTTCTTTCTATATTCAGCAACATAATTGAAATTTGTATTCTAAGCTAAAGAGGTGCCAATATAATTTATTTAGGCAACATTTAATATGCTGTACGTAATCCCTACAAATTCACACTATTTTTTTCTTGCCCATTCTATTTTAACATGGTCTATATTTTTCAACTGCTTTGGTTTTTTAACATGCCAATTTCAAATTCAATGTAAATTTATCAAATAATTCATTTATTATATACATATTTGAATTTGAAATACAGATACCCGGGTAAAAAAAACGGGTAGTCTTCCTATCGGAGCACTGGTAAAGTGGTAGTTACTTTCACTTACTTTAGTTTTGGAGAATAAGCTTAAAAGTTAACTGTTTCAAAGTCACTCTACAGGCCCAAGATGTTGCGGTTTAAAAGTACACGAATTAAATATTAACAAACATAAATTAACGCCACTCGTTAGGCTTAAGTGTACTATATGACTATTAGTACTAGTAGAAAGTATCCATACACCCAAGAGCTTCGGCGCGACAGAAGGACAACAACGTCGGTAAGAAAAAAGTCCTGAAACTGGGATTTAGAAACTTATGGATAATTTAACAGAGATTCTGATCTGTCTCTCTTTTCTCCATACTTTATGTCAACTTAACAAAAAATACCTATAAAAGAATAAGAATACATAATAAAATAAGAAATGTTTCATTTTCTCAAAACTGGTGAAAATTTACAAACCACTCCATGACTAAATCGTAAATTATTTTATGTGTAAATTTTGAATCTCTGATCTTACCTACAAACCCAAACAAATTATTTTCGGCCCCCTAGTGTCAGAGATATGTTTTAACTGATCTTGCTTTAAACCTCATCGAGTATCTTCGATTTCACAACGTGGCACGATTTTGACCATTTTGTAAATTTTATATTTAAATTCACAAAACTTCACAATAATATAGTTAATTTGGTTAATATCATTCTTATTATGCAATACTAAGAAAGGAATATTACCTACTGTATATCTGTTCACAGAGCTATTCTGCTCTTTTATATCCAATTTTAATTAGTTATATTATTGTTGGGTATTTTTCTAATACAATTTATTTGTTAGCTTGAGGAAGCTGCGGGTCGTAGGCTGCTTAGAAAACTTAGAGTTGGGAAGCAAGTTTAGTCCTTGCAAATTCGAACGTAGATAATAAATACAAGATAAGTGAGAAGTGTGTGGGATTATGTCAAAATAGAGAATTAACCAGTTATTGTGTTTGATATCGCGGTTACTTATGACATGCAATTTGTTTTACGTATAACATTATTTGTAATGTAGACCTATAGCAGTGTAAATTTATTCAAATTTGTAGAAACGTTAAATAATAGAATAAAGTAATTTATTAGTTTTACATGAACTGGACGTTGAATTATTTTCCCCAAATAATCTAAAAGAACCTGTCAACCAAGGAATTACACTACTATATTTGTATCAGAAGTGGGATATTATTTTGGTCAAAAATAAAATAAAACTTTGACTAAACTTCACCAGTCGAAGATTATGACCATGAGGTCAACGAATGAGAACGAAGCGTTACTTGAGATGATGAAATTATTAAAACAAAATCAGGAAAAGAGACCAAAAATTAGAAGAATGAAACAGAAATTTTATAGAAAAACAAAAGGAGCAAGATCAAAAAATGAAAAGAAAATCAAGAAGAAATTTCCAGAAAATAAAAGAAGACCAAAAAGAAAAAAGACAGGAAAATAAAAAAAAGACCAAGAAGAAATTTATCAAAAAACAAAAATATAAGTGTTATATAATTTTAATTGATTTTGTGGTAAAGTATAACGTAGCTATATTATAAACGCTGATAAAACTGGATATCACTGAGGTTACATATTAAAGCTGAAGATTTCGTCCTGTAAGAGGACAAACTCCAAAGTTAAGTATGTGTTTGAAGGAGAGGCAATCTCATCCAAAGAT